CCGCGGGACAGCGAGCGGCGGCCTCCGGGGGGTTATAAATAGGGCTGTGCCCCACACACGGATGTGGAATCGAATCCCAGAGCCCTATAAATAACTGCTGGGCGGTAAACAGAGTCACGGGGTGCCAGGGAGTTTAACCTGTTGTGGGTGCGACGTGCCAATGTCCCATGGGGGGAACCTGGGCCCCCCCAGCCCTGTGAGACCCTGGGGGGAACGGCCCCTCCTGCGCAGGGGGAGCAGGGAGGGGACAGAGGGGTGACACACGAGGACACAGGTGATGCAGAAACAAAAGAGCCCTTTAATGCAGGTTTGGGAGCGAGAGGGGCCGCTGTGCCCGGAGCAGCGGGGACAGCGCTGAGTCCCCCCGGCTCTCCCCAGCTCTCAGCTCCACAACAAACAGCACAGACACGCAGAGACAGGAGCAGGAGGGTGGCAGGTGTGTCACCTGCTCCCCAGCAGCGTCACCCTCACAGCAGCTGCTGGGCTCAGCCGCAGTCAACCTGAGCCGGGGCTGAGAAGAAATCCTCGGGCAGCTCCCCCAGGAGCCCGTCCAGGTCATCTGCACGGCACAGTGGGATGGGATCCGTGAGTTTTGTGTGTGTGGAATTGTTCAGGCTGGGAACCAGGCCCTGTTTTCCACAGGACAGAGCTTTTCCTCCCCTCCCAGCATGGGTCTGACTCACCCGTGTCACATCCATCAGCTCCCACTGGCTCTTCCCAGCTGGGACCAGAGCTCGGTGGGCACAGGGAGGAGCCCCCAGGATGCTGCTCTGCGCTGTGTCCACTTGTCCTCGACTGTCCCCAGTCCTCAGGAACAGGGACACCCTGAGGGGGCTGTGCAAGGGGGTCTGGAATCAGCTCAGCCTGGGCAGGGACCTGCAAAACCCAGTGGGGGATGAAATACTGGGGGATTTAACCACCCCTCCCCCTTTCTCTCAGGGGTCCCCATAGCCCAGACCCCCTTGGGGGGCCCAGCAGCCCCCAGGGCCACCAGCACTCCCCCTCACCTGCCGGAGGGAGCAGCCCTCGGGCTCAGGCGGGAAGATGCGGAGGAGGTTGTTGGGGGTCACGTTGAGGTAGTGGTTGCGGTGGGAGGGGGAGAAGACCCCGACCTGCAGAGGGGGCAGAGCCAGCTCCAGCTCCCGCCTGCAGAGCAGCTCCCCAAAGCTACAGCTCCCCATTTATGGAAGTTTTAGGATGAAGGGTGAAATGTTAGGAATAGTTGAGAAAAATCCGAGGTGCAAAACTGTGGGAGATCCTTTTCTTGTATTTATATTTGCAGTCCCAGGGTGCCGTGGAATGGGAACGGGGACGCACCACACGAACACACGAGTTCCTCTTACCCCCTTATCCCAATATTTGCATTCAGTTCCGGGGGTTGGGAACAGGTGATGTGCTGGATCACCCCCCAGCAGTCCCCCCAGCTCTCCTCACCTGCCTCAGGAGCAGCACGGAGCCGGCCCGGAGCTCGCTCTGCCTCTGCTCCAGCAGCAGCTGGTGCACCGTGCCCTGCATCTCCCCTGGCAACGAGGATGGGACCTGTGAGCCCCGGGAGTGACAGGGGAACCCCTCTGGGGCACAGGGGCTGCCCCACTCACCCGTGGGGTCCCGGAACACGGCGCCAGCGCCGGCGCTGCTCCTGCTCAGGGTCTTGATCATCACAGCCATGCTGGGAACCTTGTTTTTTGGGAGCTGCTTCAGGGCTGCCTGCACAGCACGACAGGGATTTCGGGATAACCTTGGGCAGGGCTGGGAGTTGAACCCTGATTCCTGTGGATCCCTTCCCATGTGGGATATTCCAGAATTCTACAACCCTTGTCACTCACGGGGATGTGGGTGTCTGTGCCCAGCTCAGCTCAGCCCCATTCCCAGCCCTAAAAGCAGCTCTGAGGGGTGAGGGAAGAGCAGAAGCCGAACCCTGGGCCACCCTCACCTTGCGGAGCACCATGACCACGCTGTAGGTGCGGAGGAAGCAGCTGGGGTCTCTCTCATCCAGCCCCAGCTCCGTCTTCATGGCCAGCCAGGGCCCCTTCCCGAAATCCTCCTCCGTGGGCAGCGGGGAGCTGGGCAGTGCCTGGGTCAGGGACATCCACGGTCACCGAGCCCAGGGGCTCCGTCCCCGCTCAGCATCCCGCTCTGGGAGCCCCAGCAGCACCAGTGGGATTCCCACCGGGACCTGCCAGAGCAGGGGGGGACAGGGGGGTTACCTGAGCCCGCGGCTTCGCCACAGCCCCGTGAGCCGGAGTTTGGGGAGCAGACACCAGGATCTCCTCCAGCAGCTTCCCAGAGTTCTTGTGGGACAGGCAGAGATGTCCAGGGATCTGCTTTGCTTCATCGGCTGCTGCCATCCCATCCTATCCCAGCCCACATCCCATTCCCGTTCCCATCCTGTGCCCACCCACTGCACTCCTGACCCCATCCCTATCACATCTTTATCCCCATCCAATCCCACCCTCATCTCTATCCATCCCCATCCCCAT